CTAAAGCTTTGTAACAGTAGTTGCATGCTGTAATCTGTTTCCATAAAAACAGAGTAAAAAAGAATTTATGGCTTTGAAAAATCCACTTATTAGAATTATAAAGCAAAAGGTTTGTAAAATTTTGTTAGTCATAGGAAATGGCATGACTAGAGCAATTTTCATCTCTGTACTCAAACTGCATGTTGAAAGAATTAACAGGTGTTTGTTCTGGCATATCCATAAAACACAAGATAAAAGTAATTACCTAAGATGGAAAGCTAGGCAACATCTGATTCGCTATATAATTCCAAAAATGAAAAAGAAAAAAATCACAAAAAATATGATTTAAGAGAAGCACAACCCAAAGGATACAAACAACTACAGGGCTGCTTTTTAAAGGAGGCCTTAAATCATTTTAGTATAAATGCATTACATTTACAGCCATGACTTGAACATGTTCCAAATCTTAGAGATATGGTAATAAGAGATCAATTTATTCAACAAATGTGGTTATCTAAGTCCATCATGGGAGCATTGGGAAACTCTTAATGTAAAGAACATGAATATGCATCTTTCTGTGAGCAAGAAAAACCATCACCTCAGATGCAGCACAAATAGTCTAGTTCAGTTCAATACACAATACTGGAAGCACTGTTATCATTCTTACTACATGATACTTATGAAAACAGATACTGAGAAGAAACTTGAGACCAGATCATTAGTATTTGTGTAGTCTTTTGGGAAATGAGCTGCAGATGAATTGCAGATTTTTTCTTTGTCTTGAGGGGTATCTCTTTTTTTTTTTTCTTTTAACAGTGATACACTGATATGAGATAAATGCAAACTGGATATTAGAAGTGTATGAGAATAAACAGCATGTTAGTAGATGTTCCTGTCCATTTGCTCTGAAGCCACACTTGCAAATACAATCTGCTCTATTACTGTGTACCATCCCCAGTATTATTGTACCACCAGCGTTAGCGCTGGCGGTACACATGGTTTCGGTCCCGTCCGGATCGTTCCGCCGGCTCCGCCGGCTCCGTTGGCTCCGCCGGCTCCGCCGGACGGCTACCGTTACCGCTTCTCCTCCTAGACGGTAAGGGCCCCCGTACCCATCTCATGGATTTAGGTCACCTATAATCTCAACTCGTTCCACGTAAAATTTGGGCTTTGTTGGTATTGGGGTCTGGGTGTGGCACTCATTGCAATGCACCCTTGTCTAAAAATGGCAAAATTAAATGCTAATTATCTACCCTACGGAAGGAGTTATGGGAAAAATTTCTATAGACGGCTTTCCAAAAGTCATATGT